CAGTAATGTGATGTCATTGCATGAGCGTATTCACAAGGGCCATATTCATCGTCTGTCTAATGACAGGGGCAGGCAACATTACCCACAATGCTCTCTGTGTCAACAGTTACATCAAATTTATTAAAATCGGCCTTTTCTGCCTATAGACCATGTGGAGAACCATCTAATGGCAAATTCCAAAGTTGGAATCCTCACTATAAAGCTCCTACTTTCATCGTAGGGAAGGGGTGGGGTAGCTGGCAGCGCCATCTTGTTGGTTTCTAAAGATTATGGCAGCTATTACCTGATTGTTGGGTGAGAGCGCAGTGTTTTCTTTGGGTCAGCCTTTTCGTTCTCTTTTAAGACGCCATATAAACTCTTGTGAAGTTTAGCAAAGACATGCTTCCTTCTTTGGAGAATGCTTTTATGGGTTGTTGGACACCACCACTGTTTGGTTTTCATGGAGGCACGCCCAAGCTCATTTAAAGCGAGCTCTGGATCCCAAAATGAGCGCTAAACGGTTACTGCCAGTTGCTTCAGATTAAAACGATCTGCATTCAGATGATTCCATATGAGGGCAGTTGGCAGGAAGTCGGACACCGGATTTGGACTCGGCATTACTTGGCGGCTGCTCCACTTCTGTGCCTCGTTTTACCTATCTGTAAAATGCCATCCTCGGGTTGATTGTAGATATGAGTGTTTACTACCCTGACTGACTGTTGGCATTATTTGGAGAGGATCTTCATTTAGCTTAGGCCAAGCCACCATAGGCAACAGCAGTGATCATTTGCTGGTTTATCAATAGGTTCTTGGAGTCCTGTGGTGCATTATTAGGTGGAGTTTTTCTTCAAAGTTCTGCAGCTATTTCCCTTTTCCCAATTAACTTTGTATAATATCTACATATGTACATCTGTACTGTTAGTCGGTTTTTAGTCACGTCCAACTCTCTGTGACCACATTTGAGGTTTTCTTGGCAAAGATACTGGAGTGGTTTGCCATTTCCCTCTCCGGCTTATTTTACCAATGAGGAAACTGAGGCAAATAGAGTTAAGTGACTTGCCCAGGGTCATACAGCTAGTACATTTCTGAGGCCAGATTTGAATGCAGGAAGATGAGTCTTCCTGAATCCAGGCCCAGCACTTTATCTACTGCTCAATCCCTCTGCCCCATATGTACATCTGCCCTGAAGGCAGGGATTATTTTGCTTTTTTATCTCTGTACCCCAGCACTCAATAAAGTGCCTGGCACATAGTAGGTGCTCAATAAATGTTTGTTGATGGAATTATCAGATGGCTATAAACCCCTTTGTAAGTTGTGAGTGTCCTATGAATGGTAACTAGGAACCACATCCTTCTGATTGGAATGGCCTAGAAAAGTAGGAGTTATAGGATTTTGCCCATCCATGGTGTTTTTTTTTTTGAAGGGGGGTGTTAAGTTACCTCCCTAAAATCATTGAGTAAATAAAACTGCTGAGATCTAAGGACTGTAAAATTTGGAATGAGACATAACAATCCTTGTGTGGGGTTTAAATGGCATTGGAAATAATTAACGAGACAAAAAGCTGCGATTTCCCAAGATTAGCATGCAGGTTGGGGTTTGGCGTGCAGAAATTCATTGTTTTGGTCTCTAGCCCAAACATGCTAGAGTCATTATATTGTCATGGGGTAATTAGCTGTTGCTTTAATACAAGTAATAAAAATTAAGCCCAAGATGTGCTCGAGCACCGCCTTTTACATATCCCCAAACAGTATTCCGGTGCTCTAAGCGCTTAGTCACCCAGCCGCCAGCATTGGTCGAACGCATGGAGGTGATGGAATGTTTACTTCATTCTTCATCCCGGGATGAGTTTTGCTGCTTCGGTATTCACCTTTAATAGAGCTGATCTAAATATACATGTCATGGTGAATAATTATAAGATTGCGGGAGTTTTCATTTACAATATAATGCTTCTTAGAGATTGAAAATTGGATGAGAGGTCTAGTTCCTGCTCACTTTGTGGCCTCCCTCTTATTTCTAGATGTCATTGAATTCCTTGTGGATTTCGGCTTGGGAAACTGTAGTTTATTTGAAGCAGACACGGGGTCTTCTGGGGGCCTTGGCCTTTAAAAATGAATGGACGGGAAAACTTGTTGATAGAAATTCTAGGGGTAGGGGGCACTACACAAGCGCAGTCTTTTTATAAATACAATTTATATCGGCAATTGCAGTGCAAGAGCGAAACTTCATAGAATTTTGTGCAAGAGCAGCAGGTCGGATTTTGGCCTCTTTTCCTCACCCCCTATTTTAAGCTTCAGTTGTAGCCCTCAAGGAAAGAGGCTGAGGGTGCTCCAGCCTGTTCGTCGGCCTCCTCGCCCAACCTCAGAGTTGGGGGCGCTGTGAGAAGACTGAAATAAGAAACCTTGAGAATGTGCTCATTCCACTTTAGTTGGGCACCTAGAGGATGGCTTTCCTGTTTCCCCCAGAGTCACCTTCTGGCTGTTTTGTCTCTGCCTACATATGTCCATGTTTCCTAACTAGCTAGACTCGAAGGCCCTGGAGGGCAAGAGACTGAGTTGCATTCATCATTTGTATTCACTGTGCTTGGCACACGGTTGACATTTAGTGAATGCTCATTGATTGGATTGCCTTGAGACCAGGCCTTGAAGAGTGGTGGAAAGCCTCCAGCTTGTTTACTGTGGAGGAGAGAAGATTCAGGGTAGACATCAAGCTGTTGAGAGAGCTGACATGTGGGTGGAGGACTAGGGACAGTGTGTGTGGTGCTGGGGATGGTGGGGGTCACACATTGGGACTAGGTGTCCGCAGATACTTTCTGACGCTTAGGACTGGCCAAAAGTGGGGTGGTGGATTTACCCTTCTTGGAGGCCTCTTGTTGGGTACCTGCTTCATAGCAGGGATTCTTTCAGGTACGGGTTGGATGAGATTTCCTCTGAGGTCCCCTTTCCAGTCCCCGGCTTCTGTGGTTTCTTAACATCCACTAGAAACACTCTGAGGACTCACCTTGTAGGGAGCTCCATGAAAAGACTTAAAAAGTATGATTTAATATAAATATTTTGATGCAGATTAAAATAATAAGGAAAAGCCATAAACAAGAAGGTGACATAGTTATAAACTGTACGCCCAGAGAAAAAATGAGCAGCAGCTGAAGATTTCGCCTTACCAAAGGATGCCATCCGCCACCGTTGTTGGTGGATGTGCTAGTTACAAACTGCAGCCCCCTTCTTGTGCTTCTGGCTCAGCATAGCCCAGTAACATTCTTCTATAAACTCTCAAAGGCACTGGCACATTGAAGAACACATGGGCTTGTGGTTAATGTGTTAACCGAGGTACAACAGACTTATTATTTGTTTCCAGGAACCAAGGGTGGTCTGAAAAATTAATGACTACAGTGTTTGAAAATTAAGTGAACTCCCTCACATATACTCTTGTTGATCCACTGAGTTGGGTGTTTAGCATTCCTCAACAGGAGACTAAATCTTTGCCGTCATTTCCCCAGTGATGTTGGCGCCCATACGAGAAATGTATTCAATAATCTTTTATAAGCCCGGTGGACTCCAGCATTCTACAACTCAGACTGAGGCTGAGAATTCCAAAGGAAACACCCCATCGGTGCCCAGCAGGTGGACTGTAATTGCCTTTTAGGCAGCAGAAGAAAAACGATCGAGTCCAGACGCTAGCAGAACATTTAAAGGGTTTCTAATTTGTGCTGAATTAATGGTAAAGGCAAAACCTAAGATTAAGTGCTGTAAAAATCTATGGATATTGGTTCTCATTTCATTTTGAAATTTGTTTTCTGTGAGTAAATCTGATTGTAGATGCCACATAGAATTTGTATCAAAAGTTAGCATCCCCAACTCTTTATGTTTTGATGGACCCAGCCCAGACACTGTCATCGTGCTCATTTGTGACGTTTGTGGCGGTGAGGGTGATAATTGAGAACAGCTGCCAAAGGTCCCCTGGCCTAGGGTGACATATCAGGGGCTTGTGGCTTCACTCGAGCCAGGCCAACAAGTGGACTCTGTGTCGGGGGCTGAGTGAGTAGTTGATCCAGTGACCAGAAGGGACATTTTCTCTCTAATTTGTCCAAAGTACTCGATTCCTCGCCTCTCTGAGGGTTGCTAACCCTGTCAGAGGCCGAGTCTCCCAATACCTCACAGTTTGACTTCGTGGTCTTTGTTGTTCATTACCGAAGGAGATGCAAGATGGAAAGGTCAGCCTGATTCCTTCATAATCGTGATCTTTGTAAAGCCGCAGTGTTTTCCATCATTTGGAGGGAGTTTTACCTTGGCGTCTTCTAAAAATCTGTGGAAACTCAAGGCCCAGTTGTGTGGCCTCAGGAGATCCACACCCCCAAGCCCACTGCCACCCCGCCTTGGGACTCAGGATGCATTAGCATTTCTCTGCTGCTTTTTGTGCTGCTGCCATCAGGTGTGTTTGTCTTTTAATCAGCATCCAAGAATGGAAATCCTGCTCTTGAATTGTCATGTGGTAATAGTTGTGTTGCAAACCCTTTAACTCAGCTCTGAATCGAGACATTTGTGTGTCCAACACGGCCTCGTGGGATCGGCCCTCGGCAGCCTTTTAAGCTATCACTGGAACCTATGTGCCTTCTCACAAAATAAATACCTTTGCACCACGGAGCAGAACCGTCTGGCACTAAGAGTATATGCATTTTTTTTTTTAATGATAGGAGAGTGCCCCATTGTGTGGGGGGCCTGTGGCTGCCGCCTACATCACCTACCCTTCTCTGGGCTTCTCTGGATCAGGAGCTCACTTTGCTCTCCAAGGGAAGCCCTGACTGTGAGGTACTCAATTATAACGGCGGGGAAAGTGGGGTGCTGAGCTGCCCCTCCTTCCCCAGCCCCTTGTCCGGCAGAGCGAGGAAGCCGCCCATGGCTCCATGTAGTGCCCCCCAGCCACAGCAGGGTTTCCCAAGCACCTCTAGCTCCCCACCTGATGGTGGCCACTGAGGGTTCCACAGTCCAAGCCAATCCTTCTCTTTGCTTCCCTCCCCTATCCCGCAGATCCGGTCCCAGCCCTGGACCTCGGGCAGCAGCTCCAGCTCAAGGTCCAGCGCATGCACGATATTGAAACTGAAAACCAGAAGCTAAGGGAGACCCTGGAGGAATACAACAAAGAGTTTGCTGAAGTGAAAAATCAAGGTAGGCTGCTCCCCGGCGCTCTTCTTGGGCACTTTTTGGGCCCCTAAGTGCCCTTCTAGGACTGTTGAGACGAGCCTTAATTGCATTTCATTAAGTCCAGGCGGGGCCATTGAAGGGCAGTGATGAGAACGCTCCTCTCCCACTCTTCTGTCCTGGGAGCTGGGTGCGATTTTGTGGCCTCCTGACAGGATGGATCAGGAGTCCTTTCAAATGCTTCCTCTCTCATGGGGTGATAGGATCTGCCTTGGCCTCCAGGCAGGCACCACCTGTCAGAATTCCCGCCGCTGATCAAAGGAGTCCAGCCAGTAAGTCATTGAATAATTGCTGCAGATACATTAAGGCTTTGGACTCATCCTGGGCCTGTCTGTGTGCTTAAGCACTCCTGGTTCCTTGTTCATGTTGCTGGCTCATGATTAATTCAGCAGAAGCACCTTCTTGGTGCTGCTGCCCAGCCAGGTCCAGGAGGAGCTAAGCTTCTTCCCTGGACAAACGGCTTTTGGTTTTTCTTCCTTTAAAAAAGAAAAGGCAACCAAAAACCCACTTTCCTGCACCAGAAAACGAAGTGTACTCACTTAGCGACCGGTTGTCCCTTTTCCCAGAAGGCTTGTTGTTTCCCTGTCAAAACGACATCCTCCACAATGGGCCAGGGTTGTTGGGGTTGTGGGTTTTTTCCAGCCAGCTCTGAGCAGGGGCTCAGCGGGTTGGGGAGAGGCTGGGAAGGAGGGGAGAAGACGCATTGTTTCGCTTCTTCTGGACTCAAGTGTCTTCAGAAAAGATTTTAAGAAAAACTGATGAAGCTGTATCTCCTAGATTTCAGACTCTAGGTTCTGGGCAGGGGTGTTATCCCGAATGCCAGGAAAGGTGCTCCCGCCGCTCAGACGGTTTTCTGAAGCACACATCCAGCGACGTTTCTTTGCTTTCCTTCTCAAGGCCCTTTGGCGGCTCCCTCCTTTTCTTAAGGGTAAAACACAAGTTCCTCAGCTTGACATTTGATTCTAGCCTCCTCTTCCAGTTTTGTTTCCTGTTATCTCTCTGGTGTAGTGGATAGAGCTCCAGTCCTGGAGTCAGGAAGACCTCAGTTCAAATCTGGCCCCAGACATTTGCTAAATGTGTGACCCTGGGCAACTCATTTCACTTCCACCTGCCTTGGTTTCCTCATCAGTGAACTCAGGATAACAGTAGTGCCTGCCTCCCAGAGTTGTGATGATCAGATGAGAAAATACTTATAAAGTGCTTCTCATGCCCGGTACGTAGTAAGTGCTGTGTAGATGTTAGCTGTTATTATCCTCGTTGTCATTATATTCTTTCCCCTTGACACATGCTACATTCCAGTCCACCCGTTCTATTTGCTGTTGTGGGAACACATTACTCCTTGAACACTTTCGTGAATCCCTTGTTTCCTTCAAGGATCAGTTCATGGGCCACCACTGGTGGGGACCCTTTAGTACTCTCTGTATGCATTTATCTGAGGCTATGAGATGTAGTGAATAGAGAGCCAGCCTCAGAGGCAGGAAGATTTCTGCTCAGGGCATAGGCTGGCTTGTCCTGAGGAAGTCACTTCATCTCTCGTCATCTCAGGCCACTTTCTAAAAACCAGAGTGCAGAAGTTTCAGATCTACCTTGACAGGTGCTACTGGCTTCCTCCAGTGAAGTCACAAGTCCATGAAACTAAATTGGGGATGATGCCAGCGGGGCTCCCGGGGGCACCTGTGCAGGTTCAGGCCCTGCTCTGCAGAAGGTAGTCTTGGCCCAGTTCTCTTGAGGTGCTCCCGGGGCTACGTGTGTCACAGAGGTGACCATTTTTAGTGCTTCCCATCAGAACCATTTCCCCAAGACATGTGACCCTGCTCAGAGAAGAGCCTCTTTCGGAGATGTTCCCACTGCCCAGCCTTCCAGCGCACGTCTCGTAGACCAGAAATACCAAAAGAAGAGGAAATGGCCATCTCCCCCTTCTTTCCCCCAGAAACTCCCCAGATGGTTTTTCCTGTAAGTAAAACTTGATCCTTCTTTTGGCCAAGAAAGGCGATAGCTTTTATCAGTGAAGAGCTGTGACTATTAATTGCGTGGTCAGTTGGCTTAAAACATTGATGGCCTGTGGACTGGTTACCTGAGCAGCTTAAGTGGGCCACTTTACACATCTGGGAGAAGTCAGTAGAAGGTTCGTATTTAGAGCACAGACCCAGCTTTAACCTTGGAGTTAACCTCTGTCTACAGATAAGAACAGATCATTAGATCTCACCCTTGCACCATCCTGTTGGAAGGAAGCAAGGTGGCAGAGTGAATAATGTCTAGGCTTGGTGTCAGGAGGGTCTGAATTCAGATACCACCTCAAACACTTAGTGGTTGGATGACCTTGGGAAAGTCAAGGGACCTCTCTGGGCCTCAGTTTCCTTACCTGTGAAATGAGGGAGTTAGCCTCTGTGGATGCTAAGGTCCTCAGCTCCTGGCTGTGATCTCAGGATCTTTCCTGTGAAGCTCTGAGGAAGGCACTCTCACTTTTCCAGACCTCAGTTTCCTCAAAGGAGTGTGGGGTGACCTCTAAGGTCCCTTCCAGCTCTCAGGCTATGATCACAGGATGAACTTTCTGGGTGCATAGACTAAGCCTGAATTGCTCATCAAGTCTTCATTCCCATTTGTCCTGATAGAAGGTGTAAATGTGGAATTGCTATTGCTACATTTCCCATCCAGGCCTCTCGGGGTGCAGATGTGGGCAGGCCAGCTCCCTGGTCTGGGGGAAGTGGAATCTGCTTGGTGTTTCTCCTTCCTACCATGGTTGCCTCTTTCTTCACCTTATCTTAGGTGACACTTCCAGTTTCTCCCCATCTCACCCATTCCCTAATGGTGGGCCCATTTTCCCTGCTTACATTGCAGCAGCTCTGCCCACCCTTGTGTCTTGACTGGTGAACTTTGACACTCAGTAAGATGGCTGTGAAAGTGCGTTTTGGAGCTTCTTATGGCGGGTGGCCTCCCTGCTGCTGTGCTCACTCATGTGTCACTGGGGAGCTCAGGTGGAGCCCAGCCAGCCCAGATCACCTGTGAAGCTTCACCATGATGTCGCCCACATTCAGAAAAACGAATTCGGCTGGTGGAAGGCACCACCATCCAAACGCTGCGGCTTTCTTCTTGAGCGCAGCATTAGGAACCAGCCAGGCTCTTCTTGTTTTAAGCACAGAGTGAAGCCCACACTCGGACTGTATTAATCTAGAGGGAGCTAATTTAAGACTCATCGATAAGATGATATTATATTTTACCATTGATTTTTTTTTTCCTCTACTTGTGTTAGAGAAACCTGAGTTCTCCTTCCCAGCAAAATCCATTGATCCTGCTCAACCTAAACACTTAAAGTTCAATTTAACATTTAGGGAGTAAAAGGTCTCCAAAGGGACTCATAGCCATCGATTTTATGTCAGAGTCGAAGAGGGAAGGTTTCCAATGCAGGGAGCAGGCCAGCTGCATGGCCTCCGGCTGCTTCTAGAGCGTGTGGAGCAGGACTGGCAGGCATCTCTCTAACCTGAGTTTTCCCCTCCCTTTTCTAGAGGTCACGATCAAAGCACTTAAAGAGAAAATCCGGGAATATGAGCAGACCCTGAAGAACCAAGCAGAGAACATAGCTCTTGAGAAGGAGCAGAAGTTACAAAATGACTTTGCAGAGAAGGAGAGGTGAGTGTACGTGGGGGTGCATCAGCTTGTGTGTGCGTGTGCTCACGGGCGTGCCTCGGCATGTGGTTTTGTGTGTGTGTGTGTGCGTGTATGTGTGCCTGTGTGTGTGCACACCCAGCAGAGCAGGGGGCCTGGCCTCCTACTTGCTGTTACCAGCAGGACTCTTCCTTGGGTGGAGGAAGGGAACTACCCAGGCGTTGGCCCTCTCTGGTTTTTCATACAAAGTCATTTTCCAGCCAACTTTGACACTCAGCAAGGCAGCTATGAAAGTGAATCTGGAGAAACCAAACCAGGTCATGAATGAAAATCCTGCGAGCTCCCAGACTCATCTTAGCCTCCCTTTCTTCTTTTGGGGGAGTCGGGACAGCCTACAAAGCATGGTACCAGCTGTCATATTTCTTCCCCTTTGCTGATGGGCCCTGAAGGGCATGAGTCTTGGTCACATTTTCCCACAATTCCACCATAAATTGAAATAATAGTCCAAGGAAATTGGGAGAATAGCAGTTTCCTGGTAGTTATTTCATTGTAGTAAGCTCTGGGACTGAGGTCGACCTCTGAATTTTGATGACATTTCTTTTCCAGTAAATCAGAAAACAATTCACTTGTATGTGCCCAGCTCAGAATAGGCTAGGACCCTCATGTAGTTTTCTCCTGTTTGCCTTAATGCTCGGCCTTTCAAGTGTATAATAGAGTTAGTTCTGGGCCTGGGGTGAGTTAAGTCACTTTGTTGATGGAAGTGGGGGAAGGGTACTCTATGTGTGTGTTTGGGGTGGGAGGAAGCTTGTGTGTGACTGGTTGAATTTGACCCACCTTTCCCCACCCACTCACAGATGAAAGAAGGAAGGGAGAATTGTTTTTAAAAGTAACCATTTTTCAGGGGTTCCTAACCTGGGGGTGGCATCAGTGAACTGGTTTGTTTTTTTGGAAGGAAGGGTTTTTTAGCTACCTACTTTTCAATGTGATTGGATTCCTTTGTGATCTGTTGTAGTTCTGAGGGAGGGGGTCCGTAGGCCTCCCTAAAGCCAAAGGGACTATGATGCAGAAATGCTTAAGAGCCCCTGATCTCATGGGATGGAGATTCATATTTCCTCAAATCAAAAGAGCTGAATTGTAGAAGCCGCTAAAAATTACAGAAATTTGAATTTAAAAAAAACCCTCCCACAAACCCAAAACTTCTCCCTTAACTTGATTGAGCGACAGGAAATATTTTTAAGTGCTTGATTAAAAAGAAAACATGTAATTAGATTAAGACTGACGCCCTACCCAATCCAGGGAACTGCATATACAATACATATGTTGGAGAAACTTGAGTTCAGCTCCGGGGAGAATGGAGTGATTCTCCTGAAAGTCCAGATTGATTCCCACGGATTCCATTCCCTAGGTACCTAACAGCCAGGAGGCAGGGGCTGCTTTGGGCAGATCGCAGTTTTCCTTGGACGTTCCACTTGAAAGCATTCAAACTTATGTGTGCTTGGGACGTCATCCATTGTGACGCCCAAACGCTTGTTGCAGAGACGGGAATCCCAGAAGTTCCCTATGCCAGTGGAAACACAGGTCTAGACAGAAAGGAAGGGAGGAAGGCAAAAAACTGAAGAGAGTTGGAGTAAGTGTCTCCTAGTGGTCCCCTCCCTTCTTGCTCTGACATTGGGTCCACATGGATATGTCAGCGAAAGACTGTCGAAGGGACAGTCTGATTAGAGAACTCTTATTTGTAAACAAATTGTCATTGATATGTTTTGTCTTTATGCCACCTACACCTCCCAATGTTTCCCCAACTTCACATTGCCTATGAACTATGCATTGTTTAAAAGAAGAAATAATAGTAACAATAACAATAATGATAATGATAAGGGGGAGGGGCCAGTTCAGCACCCAGTGTATCCAGAAAGTGTGGCATTGTATGTATTGTTACATACCTGTAGTCCCCTACCTCTCCAAAGAAGAGAAGGGAGCTACCTTCTCATATGCTTCAAGTCATTCATGGATATGCAAATTAAAACAGCTCTCAAACTTAACCCCAGGAAATTAGCAAAGGTAACTCTACAAAACAGGCAGATTTGAGGCTAAGAGCTCCAGGGATTGGAAGTCCAAGAACTTGAGTTAGAAGTCTCACTGCCTCGCCCCCCTCATCTGTCTAATGAGGGGGCTTGGTCCCAGTGGCACCCGCTCTGCCCAGGCCCTTCCACCATCCAGTCTCTGCTCCCTCCATCACAATAGCAGGGCTTGGACCATATTGTCTGAACTAGACTCCCTAAGCCCTCACCCCAGATAAGGAAGGAGTGGTGCTGAGATGCATGGCTGTGGAGGGCGATTAGAAATCCCCCCCCCCGGCCATCCTAAGAAGAGCTATTTTACCCAGCCACCACTTCCTTCCCTGGGTGGGCAAGTTCTTTCTCCTGGTGCTCACCTGGGATGCCAGTGGGCCCAGAAGCAAGTTTTTAAAACTAGGCCTGGCTTTTCAAGAGCAGGTTCTGTTGGGCCAAGCTCGCATCCTGATGTCTTCCTCCATAGGTAAGATGCCCCACGCCTCGCGTGGTGCAGTGGGCAACCCAGAGCACACGGGCGCCTGGTTGAAATCATTAATGAGCAGGCCCCCCCGACATGAAAGACGATGGGATGGTGTGCTGATTTCCTGCAGGTATTTTGTAGAGGGGCTGGCGCCAGCTGCATGATTGCAGTTGAGATAGCTGATCACTGCAGCTCACAAGCACACCATGCATTCACCTTGGTAAACACGATCATCAATTTGGCTTCATTCTCTTCCTTTTTTTCAGAAAGTTGCAAGAAACACAGATGTCTACCGCCTCCAAGCTGGAGGAAGCAGAGCATAAAGTTCAAACTTTGCAGACAGGTTTGCTCTTTTATTTCCTTTAACCTTAGATTTGTGCTCTGATGGGGGGGTCTGGGAAAAGAGCAGAAATGATGATGGTTGTGTTCTCTCCCCTGCCCTCTAGTAAGAGTCTTTCCTGCCAGTGGAAGGCTTTGGCATTAATTCTCTCCTTCACCCCAGCTTTGAGGAGTTGTCGTGGTAGGAGCTGAACAGAGACCTGCTGCGGTCCCTCTTTGGTCCCTGAATGATGTCACTGCCTTCCCCCATGGCCCATAAGCTCCGTAGGGGAAGGGACTGCTCCTTTGGGTCCCGTATCCCCAGCACCCAGCCCAGTACCCAGCACACAGGAGAAACTTCATTTGTGTCTGCTGAATGTAACTGCATTGAATTGCAGGCATTTCCAGTAAAGATTACGCTGAGCTTTAATACAGAGGTGGGACAGCCCCTCCTTGCACATTCCCTCTCCTCGTCCCCCAGGAACAGTGTTATTCTTTCTACCCTTATTCCAATGACTCTGAGGACGATGACACGGAGGGAGGTCTCTAGGAGAGGGAGCAGATGTCCTGATGGCAAGGAGACCCGGGTTCAGATCCTGCCTCTGACGTGATTGGCTTTGTGACCATGGGCAAGTCCTCTAACTTGTCTGAGCCTCGGTCTTCCTCTGTGTAAAATGGGGAAAATAATCATTGTAAATAGGCACCTCACAGATTGGTTCTGAGGGGGTGGAAGAGATGGCTCACGCGTTGCCTCTGTGGCCCATCAGGTGGGATGTGAATATCTGTGATTGCCATCATCACCATTAGTGCTGCTTTTTGAGTGGCAGGAATTCCAATTTTACTTAATTCTTTATTTTTGTTTTTTGGGGTTTTTGAGGCAACTGGAGTTAAGTGACTTGCCCAGAGTCACACAGCTAGTGGGCGTTAATGTGTCTGAGGTTGGATTTGAACTCAGGTCCTCCTGACTCCAGGGCCTATGCTCTCTTCACTGTGCCACCTATCTGCCCCCTAACTTAATTCTTTGAATGGATAAGTTGGGTTTCACCACAAACAGGCAAACGTCAATGTCACCACAATAAAACCTGTCCAAAGGCTGTGCCCCACTAAGGGGCAAACCAGAATAGGAACTGGGACCGGGCTAAGCTGCCACACGGCCTTCAGGCGCTCCGGTGCTGGACGGGGCGGAGCTGGGATCTGTTGTGCTTTATTGGTCCCTGGTTACATTGTTGTCCTCGTTTACAGATTTATAACTGTTCTCTGGATTTTCCTTTTGCTTATCCTGGCTTCCTTCTGCATCACTTCAGATCGTGTCTTTCCATATTGATCAGAGTTTTTTGTATTTGTCATTTCATGAAGTATAACAGCATTTATTCCATTACATGCATCTGGGCTGGTTTGGTAGAGCCTTTCCCCCCTCATTAGGTACATGGTTTGTTTCCAGTTTTTGACTTTTATCGACAAAGCTACTGTCAGTGTTTTTATATAGATAGTCTCTATCTATCTTTTTCTCTCCCTTCTTCCTTCCCTCCCTCTACTTCCTTGGCATATAAACCCAGTCGTGAGTGGGATCACCAGATGAAAGGGTACGGATCATTTTGTACATTTTCATGAATTGTTCCAAATTGTCTCCCAAAACACTTTGATAATACATTACCTGTGGCAACAGAACTCCGGTTGCTATGAATTAGGCTTCAGGAAACTGCTAATAGCAAGCCTTTAATAGTCTGAAGAAGCTGTCTCCAAAAAGGTGATGTGAAATTTTTTTCATAGTTAATTTTTAAAACATGATAGATAGTGACTTGTATACTAGTGCCAATGCAGCTAGACTTGCTTTGTAACTATGTTTGAGTTAAATGAATTTCAGTTCATAAAATGCTCTAACTTTTCCATCCCCGCTTCTAAGGCTCCATCAGGATTCTAGTCCCTTCTCCATCAATTTTCCTCATATATGGAAGACCTAATTAATTAGATGTTCAAGGATAGGTAGAATTATATAGTCAAAGGGACAGTACTCCCTAAATGTACATATTTGACACAGTGTCAGTCAAAATACCAAGAGTTTTCTCTGTAGTGCTGGATAAAATCATAATTTCCATGAAAAAATTAAAGTAGAAAAGACTATAAAAAGGATTAGACTGGGGCAGGGGGAGGGGGAGCTGATGAGGGGACTTTGCATGACTAAACTTTAAAATATATTACAGAGTATTTCTCATCAAAATTATCTGATACTGGGGAAAATAAAGAAATAGCTCAGTACAAGAGAATAAATACTCTAGACGTTCAGTCAAATACTTATTCAGAATTAGTGATTGATTTAACTTATGTAATGTGAAAAGTGAGTTCATTAAAATGAGATTCATTATTCAACAAACGTAATTGGGAAATTTGGGCTGCACGGCAGTGAGAAATGTATTGAGATGTCCATTTCCCACCATGTAATTCAGTAGATTTCAGCCGGATACTAAACTTCAGCATAAGAGCCATCAAAAATATGGAGGGAAATGGAATACTGTACTTATGTGAATGATGGAGGAAAGATGATAGTTTTTTCCTATTCCTCATATAAAAGGAATTATTAGAGACAAGATAAATGTGCTTGTTTACATTGAAAGTAAATCTATACAATGAAAAATGTGTAATTTTTTAAAAGAAAAAATAATTGCAAAATAATTATGATAAATATGACATATAAAGCCTTCATATCAAAATACAAAAAAGTGTTTAAAAATTTATGTAGGTAACTCCCAGTCTATAGTAGATAAAGTATCAGAGGATATGTGCAGGTTTTAAGAAAGGAAACACAGGTTATTAATAAACATTTGAAAAAATGGTCACTATTAAAGAAATGCAAATAAAATCTTGGAGACACTCCTTCACACCCTATCAACTTAGCAGAAATAAACAGAGCCACGAAAGCTCAGTGCTGGCAGGGTTGTGGTCAAACAAGTACACACATTACTCCTTAAGTTTGTTTTTGTTTTTCACTAGGCAGTGGGGTTAAGTGACTTGCCCAGGGTCACACAGCTAGTAAGTATCACGTGTCAGAGGCTGGATTTGAACTCAGATCCTCCTGACTCCAGGACTGGTGCTATACTTCACCACCTAGCTGCCCCTTCCTTAAGTCTTTTAGAGTCTGATATGACAGTGTGAAGCAAAAGTTATAGATGTAATCATACTTTTCCACCCAATAATTATTTCTGTTTTTATGACTTTTCCCTGAAAGAAGTTATCAAAAATAAAAGGCTATCTATCTTTTCAAAGATTTTCATAAGGGCATTTTTTGTAGTTTATGAAAAACTGGAAGCAAGCTGTCAATGTCTAACTACTGGGGAATAATTAATAAAGTGTGATACATGCATGTAATGGAATACTGTGATGCCTTTATGGCCAAAAAATATGGAGAATGTCAAGAAATCTGGAAAGGCCTTTATGAAATCATGCAAACTCCACCACCACCACCCCAGCCCTCCTGCCCTGCAAAAAAAAAAAAACCCAAAAAACCAAGAAATGTAATTGATTTAAAAAAAAAAAACCAAAACAGCAAAGTCCCGAGTTTTACTTGACAGGTAGAACACCCAGTAAAGGGAGGAAAAAGGAGTTTGTATTTGAATTTAGCAGTTAGAAGCCACTGTTCCAAATTTCATCTGTTTGTGTTCTGCCTTTCAGCCCTGGAAAAAACTCGAACAGAATTATTTGACCTGAAAACCAAATATGATGAAGAAACTACTGCAAAGTAAGTTTGCCCGCCGCCTTGTCCCTGCAGGCTTCCTGTTGCCCTTGATGGGCGTTTGTGCCCACGGATGTCTCTCTTCTCCTGCCTTGCCGTTGCGCGCTTGCTCTGTTGGGTTTGGAGGGCGGGAGCGTCGCCTGGACTGGGAGGCTCTTGGCTTGTGTGATGCCGTGACGACCCAGCCTGCGCACTGGGGCCGAGGATGTTCACGAGGGTCCCTTGGTTCCCGTGATGGTTGAGTGGATAGAGTTCTTTTTCTTAGTCATCACCCAGCCTGGCCACTCCAGGAGAGGGTCAGAGGCAACCAGGAAGGTGGTCAGACTCTGAAGGTTGCCGTGTGATGTGTGCAGATGTGTCCTGTTTTGTTCAGCGGATAGCACCAGATGTCCAGAGCTAGAAGGGACCTCAGACGAGACACTCTCATTTTACGGATGAGTAAACTGGGGCCCAGGAAGGTGGAGGGACTTATCCAAGGTCACCCAGGGAGTCAGTGTCAGAGGCAGGATTTGAACCCATTTTCTCTGCCTCCAGCACCATGGTGCTCCTGAGAAGGCCTCAGTTTCTTTATAATAAACTAGGGGAGAAGGGGAGGTGGGCTAGATGAAGGCCCCCTTCCAGCTCCAAATCCAGGCCACTGTGATCCTGAGTCGATCACATTTATGTCACTTGTAGCTTATTTTGCATGTGGCGGTGGGCCTCTCTACTCAACAGAAAGACTGCGTCTGTGATTCCATCCAAGGGAAGACACCTTGGGATGAGAATAATCATCCTTTCTGTGTGTCTGTCTGTTTCCTTCAGCACGTTCTGGGCCCGCATTGGCCCGTCCGCCCCGAGGGGACATGAGGAGGTGCTGGTCACTTCTCACATTGTAGGTATTTTATATTAATTAACTTATCTGCCTCCATATCGCTTTGCCTCAGTTGGATGTAAACTCCTCGGGCACCGGGAATGTTTTCATTTTTGTCTTTGTGTGCCCAGGGCAGAGCGTAGCAGCTGGCGCCCGAGCCATGCGGCGGCCCTCGCACCTCATGACTTCCCTGTGACATACCTCCATGCCTTGTCTCGTGCTCTCCAGCCAACGGGCACCCCCTGGTTTAGGCCCAGCCCCTCAATTGTTCTTCCTGCCTGGAGGCTCTCGCCTTCTCAAGCCACCATCAACACAGGTGCCAGCTCGACACTCCTAAAGTGTGGGTCTGACCAGGTCACTGTCCTCCCAGGAAGCCTGGAGGAGCCAACAGAAAGGTCACTCTTTTGCCGGCGAGCCCCTTCACAGTCCCTCTGCCGAGGGTCCCATCTCCTGCCTGGGCCTTTCCTGACGCCTCCAGGCAGTACTCCTGCCTGCTCAAATGGGCTTGGCCGATCCCTTGTGCCTTCTCTGTGTCTGCCTTGTGTCCAGGATCTAGGATGGCACCTGACACCTAGAAGGGATGCTTATTAAAGGCTCCTTGAATGGAATTCCATCATCCACCATCACTTCTGAAGTGCCTGTGGTGGGCCAGGCCCTTTGCTAGCCTCTGGAGATGCAAAGACTGACAAAACAGTCCCTGCCCTCAGGGAGCTTCCATTCTATAGAAGAGACACAAGCTCAACAACACAGAGACAAGTGAAGTTAGGGCATCTGGGGCTGGGAGAATCAGGAAAGGCTGAAGTAGGTAGTGGTATTTGAAGTGCGCTTTGAAGGAGGCTACCAGGGCATTCTAGGCATGGGGCACAGCTGGGGCAAAGGCTCAGAGATGGGAGAAGGAATTGTTTCTGTCCTGGGGGCAACGGGGAGCCCCTGGGGCTTTTGGAGCAGGGAAGTAACAAGGTGGAAGTGAGGAAGGGGAAGGTCCCCTCGGCAGAGGTGGCGTATCTGGATTTTTGTGTGTACGTTTCCAGGCTTCATCAAAACAGGTTGTTTTGATCTCACTGCGGCGGCCAGGATCGGATTGCCTGTTTGAGTTATGCTTTATTTATTCTCGCAGAAGCATAACCTAAATGTACGCTCAGATTATTTGCACTTAATTTTTAGAATTTAGATGCTAGGCACTATGCTAAGCACCGAGGAATATTCAGAGTGACTTCCTGCCCTCAGGGAGCTCACTATCTAAGGAGAGACCACATGATAGAACCTCATTTGAATATTGGCTTTGCTGGTTAATTAAGTTATATGGAATCGTTGAATTGTGGAATTTGGAGGCTGGAATAAACAATAAAAATCAGGGAACCAGAGCTCTTTGGGACTCCTTCAAGAGCCAGCTGAAATCCCACCTGCTCCAGGAAGCCTTTTTGGATTCCCCCTTCATTCTCAGGCTTCCCCCTGTTGGCTCTCTCCCATTTACCCCATCAGTAGCTCATTTGGACAGAGTTGTTTTCATGTTGTCTTCCCCATTAGATAGTGAGCTCCTTGAGGGCAGGAAGTCACTCTTTGTATCCTGGGTGCTTAGCACAGTGCCTAGCACACAGCAGGCATTTAATAAATGTTTATTGACTGACTCACTAAAGATTAGCGGAAAAGTTAGGGCCAGAGCTAGAATGAAAATCAGTTGAGTCATCAGGCACTTATTAAGTGTGGACTCTGTGAGGGGCAGCAGGGTGTAGTGATAGAGGGCTGGCCTAGAATTAATAAACATTTCTTAAGCGCTTAATATGTGCCACGTACCTCACCAAAGAAGACCTGAGTTGAAGGCCTACCTGACACATACTGGCTGTGTGACCCTAGACAAGTCACTTAACTTCTCAGTGCTCTGGACAACTCTCAAGGGCTTATGTGTTGTAGAGAAGGTGGCAGCTTGTGTTGGTAGAGAGAATTTCCTCCCCTGGGAGTTCTCTGTACCAAATACTTCTTCAGGTGATGATGATTATTTTAAAAAGAAAGAAGGAAAGAAAGAAAGAAAGCTGTGCTATTTGGGAGCTTCCATTCGTCTGCAGGAGAGCCATATTTGGGGATCCCAAGGCAGTATCCCTCCTCATGGACCATGAGTTTTTGCTATCAGTTCTTGGAGTCAAAATATTACGGCTTTTCTAGACCAGGGTCTGTGTGTCCATATTTCTTTGAGAGCGTGATAGATTTTCCATAAGATGTCCTATTAGTGATCACTTTTAAATTAAATGTTACTGTTTTTCAAAGAACAAACCTCTGTTTTCTCTCCCTCCCGCCTCCCCCAGCCCCACTGAGTGTGTTGAGGGGGACCTTGTAACAAACATACGTAGTCGAGTAAAAACAAATTTTATGTTGACCACATCCAGAAATGGAGGCCACTATCAAGCCTCCCCAGCCCTCTGGGACTGACCATGGCTGGCCATTGGCTTGGACAGTTCTTAAGTCTTTATTTGTCCCTGTTCTGTCTGCTTTCATGATTCTCCTCGCTCTGCTCACTTCACTGAGGTCCGTGTGCCCAAAATTGGGTGCTTCACTTAAAGTTCCCCATTTTCTAGATTTCTTTTCTCTCTTCTGCCTGAGCAACTGACAAAACCCCAGGGTTTCATGTTCTGGGTTTTTTTCTCTCTGTTTAATCTTTATTCTTGTAACTGTGGGACAGCTATCTTAGAGAGCTTTGTTGACTTTTTGTTAAAAAAAAAATCAATCCTTTGTTCTTTTATCAGAACATCTGACGCCTGAATCGTTTTTGCTACACCTATGTTATTTAGAAAAAAATTTCTCAGACTTTTCACAAGTTCCATTTATAGAGATGTTTGAGATTTACAAAGCATTTTTCTTTAATTCAGCAAATAGGAACACAAAATCACCTAACAAAATCTTTATAAACTATTTGTATTTTGATACTTAGATTTAGATAAAAATAAAATTTACTAAGAATAACACTAACTTGTTTTCATCCAACAAACGTGTAAGTGCCTACTTACTTAAGACATTGATACAAGGTTGCAAAAACAAAAAGAAGCCTGCCTCTGTCTCCAAAGTTAAGTACCTCCTATGTGCCCATGGTACTGTGCTAGGGAAACACAGACCCTGCCCTCAGAAAGTTTATAATCTAACCAGATGATGTGATGTTTACAGCTAGAAACATAGATTGATACAAGGGAATTTGGGGAGGGCAACAGAAAGACTTCATGGAGAAGAAGGGAAAGCTGGAGCTGACCCCTCACCCTGAGCTGTCGACTCCTAACCCAGGGGCACAGCTCAGCTACCTATTTGTTTGTTATTTTTTAGTAGCTCATGGGGCAAGATTGGTTTTTACATTTTTTAATGCAGTAAAACTTTATTATAAAATGTAAAATCCATTCTTACTTGCTGTGCACTAACCCATTGGACCCCTAACCTTACTGGCTTCCCAGTTGTTTCTGTCACTGTCCTCTAAAGGTGTTATCTTTTTGTTTTCATAACACAGTCAGGCAGTGACCACATCCCCTCTTCCTGACTCCAGATCAAATCCTTTCTCTGCCGCTTAGTAACTTTTTGACCTTGGGAAAGTTCAGCCTCTCTCAGCCTCATTTTTTTTTTAATTTTTATTTTTGTAAATTTTTAGGCAGTTGGGGTTAAGTGACTTGCCCAGGGTCACACAGCTAGTAAGTTATCAAGTGTTTGGTTTGAGGCTGGATTTGAACTCAGGTCCTTCAGACTTCAGGGCCAGTGCTCTATCCACTGTACCACCTAGCTGCCCCTCCCTCAGCCTCATTTAAGTGGGGCTAAGGAAGGCCCCTACCTCCCAGCGTTGTGAGGATCAAGCAGGATACTACTGTGAAGCACTTTGCTCCTCTTAAAGCTCCGTGTGAACATGAGCCGTTCCGATAATTATTGTCGTCGATGCTGCATTTCATTAGATTTGTCATATTGGTTTGTTGCTGGAGCATGAGATTATTCCATTTCACCAATATATCATCATTTATTCAACATTCCCCCATCATTGGCCGTATAATTTTGTATTTTCACTTTTTCACTATAAAAAATTAACCACCTATAAATATTTTTTGTACAACCAGGTCTCTTTCCCCCATCCCTTGGGTCTGGTCCTACTAGTGTGGTCCGTTGGGTCCAAGGGAATGAAGGTTTCTTAACTCTT